GGCAGGGGGGACACATGCTGTCATATCCATTCCTTCTTCTGGTACTGGCGCATTTAAATTTACTGTTGTTTTTGTATCAGTCTGTACTACATCTAAGCAAGCAGTCATTTCCATATCCTCTTCTGGTTCAGTAACATCTGGCAGTTCTGTTCTACCATGATTACTAAGAGCCAAGGTGTTGTTTATATTTGATGTAGCATAGGATGAATCTTGTCGACCAAATGCACTTGTGTTTGAAGCAGAATCTTTGGAAACTCCAACCTTTGATTTACCAAGACTGGCCAAAAATGACTTGGCATTAGCCCTAACCAAACCTTGACCATGGCATGTTAGCTCCACAGATTTAAAATCAACATCCCTCAACTTTGGATCAAACACAGCTGTTGTTTGTGAGGTCATTGGGCCATCAAATCTGCCTTCATGACAAACATTAAAATCCATTCCTTCATTTTCTTTGTTCGAAGAGACCCTTGCTTTCTCTCTTTGTGTTTGTGTCTGATAATACTGTACATAGTCTGATAACCCAGGCCTCCTCATGTCTTGGGCTAAGGTTGATTCCTTTCTCAACCCCGAGGACTGACCATATTGCTTATAGACATCAGTTTCTGGTCTGTCATCCTGGTTTATCAGCCCTTGGCCATGGCAGGTCAACTCTAATGCATTCACTCCATCTTCAACTCTATTTTCCTGATCTTGGTTGTTGTTTTCAAGAGATTTAAGGGATTGTCTACCAGACTGTTCTATCATGTTCCCACAAAATGTGAAATCCATGGAAAGTTCATCCTATAAAAATACAAGTCTTGATTCACAATTTGAATTATTTAATCATTAATGAATTACAAATGAAACTGAAATATASACATAATCACATAAGGACATGATTATTTATTGCAGATACATTCATAACATGGAAGTTCTTRTTAATGGTAGAGCATGTTCACACTGACAAACTTTAGTCAAGTGATGCTGAGTCAAGGAGTCCAAGTACATTACTACAACTATCATACCCCTACATTTAGTTCAATCAAGTCTGACATTTGACATGGTATCGAGCATCATAATTTTTATTTATTACTTAATACAATCTGTACAATACAGTATTTAACACAAATGCAAATGTATTTGCTTTTTGTTTGGTTGAGAACTGTGGTWAATAGAAGGACCTACCGAAAAATTGTGTTGAATCAACAAATTACAAATCCCTTGCGCATGGAGCATCAGCCCTTCAAAACGTTTTTCTTTTAAACTTTTCCATTGTTTTTGTAGTTAAAAAAAAACGTCTGATGGTTTAGTGYATAGTCCACTTATTTACCACAATATGAGGTCAACAATAATTTGGTCATGTATTTGTTAACTGCACCATACACCTGTATACATACTGTATGAAACTAACCTGGTCTTGCAACTCTTGTCCTGTGTTCTGTATATCACCCTTTAATAATGATTCTAGCCCTTAAGATTACAAATTATTGATCAAAAGAAAAGAATTGGCTGATCCTAAATATTTTTTAGCAAATAGATTTTTAAGATAACTGTAATTGAGGTTGACTTTTTCAGTCAAAGAAAATCAAAAGAAAAGAATTGGCTTATCCTAATAATATTTTTTAGTAAATAGATTTTTAAGATAACTGTAATTGAGGTTGACTTTTTCAGTCAAAGAAAATCAAAAGAAAAGAATTGGCTTATTCTGATAATATTTTTTAGCAAATAGATTTTTAACATAACTGTAGTTGAAGTTGACTTTTTCAGTCAAAATTATTTTTAGATTTCATAAGTTCTTTTTGTTCATTCAACATTAGAGCAGTTTTCAATGGCTGTGAAAAGCTCGCTGCAAGAATGTGGTCTTGACATGACAAGGCATATGCACCCCAATTGTGCAAGACTTTTCTCTCCATCCTTACAATCAGACACCTAAAACCAATATATAAAACTGGCATGAACACAGCGTGGACACTGTCACACCAAGGTCATGKCACTGCCAGACCAACMWTATTGCGCTWGAAAAAWATCAGCCAATTAARATTYTASAAAACAWTACRACCRCAGYAAGGCACGTAYACAGAACCCAATTTTKTAWAGTCATAGRAAAACTGCTCTATCYGYATTAGGACAATGAAAATTAGCTATAGATTTTGGACCTTTCTAATTCTATTAAATTAATACTAATACTGTTCCAGCAATAGAAGACATTGATGATCAATTCACCACCATTCACTCACCTCTTATTCTATCAGTTGGTTGTCTATATTCACTGTTAAGTTAAAAAACAGACTAGTTAATGACAGAACCAGGATTTTACCATTTTTTATTTAAAGGCTTTCATCACACTTGAGTTGTAACAGCAATAAAGTATTGTAAAATTCAATCACAWTGTCCAATGTCTAATTGAATTACCTTGGTGACAAATCTGATTGCTCTGCTTGATCTGGAAGTACAACAAGGATGTGGAAAATAAGTTGAGAAACACCAACAAAATGAAGAATATTTGTATAATTGTGACAATATGAAAACAATCCAAACTTCTAACAGTTAACACCTTTATTATATAATTTTTATAATAGTATGAAGTTTCTAAAAAATATATATATTTCAAGTTATGAAACATGATCATGAACATCAAGAAAATAAAGCTAATAATTTAATATAAACTTTTGCTTCAATAGCATTACCTGAAGTTATAGTTGAGTTTTCCCTCTGCCAAATAGCATTCCACTCCTCATCCTTACAGAACTCTCTAATAATGATGAATGATTTTGGTTGAGCTTTTTTCATGCAAACATAGGAATCTATTTGGGGGGAGAAAGGTCTGTTTCCTAATGTTATAGTGTTTATAAGAGCAATATTATCAACCATTTTGGTTATCAGGGCATGAGATATTAAAGCCTCAAAGGTGCTAGCCGGAGTTGAATAGACCATCTTCAATTCTATTGTTTTCATTAGACATTACAGGACGACAAGGGGGCAAATATTGGAAAATTTACAGAAATAAAATAAAACCTATATGTTTACCCTCTCAGCATCCCATTATTCAAGATGGTCACTTGTTTTCATATAAAAATGTTTTTAAATTAAAACAATTTCAAGTGTAATCTAGATAAGACAGGTTGTAGTTATGTACATACTTGACTTGGTATGTTTCTGCAAAACTAACTCTTCTACTGGATGAGCCTCTGCTACTTTTTTTATCCCTAAACAAAATACAGGTTATAATAATATTATGTTATTGACTGTGTGTAAGGTCCAAATAGAAGGGTACTGGTTGAGATGTATTTTTGACTTTTTGTGGACTGAGCTGAAGGCAAGTTTAATATACTGCTTAAGAGCTGGCCATAAAAGTCAGTTTCATGTATATTCACCAATAACCTGCAAAATATTGTCGCCTACCACCCCTGTCTAGAGTTTGGCATGCTGTCTTCCACTTGTTAGACCCTTTTTAGGCTCGTGACAGTGATATACAAACCTCTATTAAAGTATAAAAATCCATGTACTRTATGTGTGGTGTATGGATGCTTTAATTGGACCAAAGGTTTATAAATCATTCATGAGTTTTTTAAGTAACAAGTTTATTTGATTTATAGTGCGAAAGGAGAGGTTTTGCAGAGGGAAGAAAACCAGAGGACCTGGAGAAAAACCCTCAAGGCACAGGAGAGAACCAACAAACAACTCTGCTCAAATATAACACCGAGCACGGTGAGACTCAAACCTGGGTCACATTTGTGAGAAATGAAGCATTAGCAAAGTATGCAACCCATGCTTATTGTAAAGGACTCAAGGTTTGGAATGAGCAGTTTAATGAACTCTCAGATTATGTGTTGTCAGGTCTAAAACCACTTTGTAAACACTACATCATGACTGAACAAAACTCAGTCATAATGCTTAATTCTGGTAACAGAAAAAGAAATTTTGCTTTTCTTGGAAGACTGCAGCATTGTGGCTCGCAGAACCAACCAAATTACTCCAAAACTTATAGTTAATTTGTATTACCAAAAAAAAATTATGGCAAAATGAATGTATGAATCAAAACCAACCTACAGAATTAGACTAACAAAATTTATTATTTTGCTTTGGTTTATCGCGAGCATGGCTAATCATTTTACTCCTAAATATTTCATATTTAGGGTAGATAATCAAATCAGAAAATGTTTCGAATTTCAGGAGAAGAAAACTATAATATTTTAGAGTTGGTGCAGACTGTAGTTTCAATCCTAAATAAATGCACAAACATAAAGTCTTTTGTTCGTAATACTACTGCAGGCCTTACCTATTTTCTTTACCGCTACCTAAAGAGTTGGGGTCTATATCTTCAAGGGCCATTTTCAAGGGGGATTTTGCTGTTTTTAATATCTGTTAAGAAAGAGCATATTCAGCATATCCATTCACAGCACTCGAAAACGCTTTAAACTCAACTCGAAAACTTACAGAAGAACGTCGACTTGACCTCTTTCTCCCACCAACAGAGTGTCTAAAGGAAAAAACACGCTTTTAATTCTACCATTTTAACAACAAAGCGAGCATGAAGAGTCGAGAATATYCTTTCTTTTACCTGTTCTCGGCGTCGTTGCTTGGGTTGAGCGTTTCCATCGTGGAATTTAATATAAACCACAGTTACCTTGAGATATTCAAGGCTAAAGCTAAACAGAGTTTGCCTCTGCACCCTAACACTACGAAAACAGGATTAAACGCTTAATATTTACAAGAAAAAGYCGTAATTTTGCTTCTCAACCGTTGAAAACAAACTCAAATTTTAGCGCCATTCTTGTCGTACTGCAAAGCGCATGCTTACTTAATTACCGCTGACAAGTGGTGATTGACTTGCACTTGARATTCAAGATGGCGGACGAAGTTGAAAATATTTCTGTTGTTGTTCAATCTCGAGGTTTTAGCTGTTGYGGGACTATCCTTGATAGTGAGGCAGGTATTATTATTACTGTAGGGTCTATCGTCAAAGGTTTATGGCATCAAAATGAAGAAAATGYAGGACTGCCAAGAAAAGATATCTCCATCCCCATACAAGTACAACAASGAGATGTCCCGGTTGAAGTAATACTGAGAAGAAATCCTCTGAAACATACCTCATCAAACGATTTCATAACTCTTGATGGCAAGATCGTAGCCTTGTGGAGGGATCAAAAGCTAGAGGAAACATGTAAAAGTATGTTTCCAAGAATGGAGTGGACRTTTGAAGATGACACAAGTACAAAGTGTGCAGGAGAAAGGAATGACGAATTCTACCAAGGGGGGCGTGACTCTCCTCTCTCCTTGGCAGATTTTGCTCTTATTGAGGTTAAAAACCTATCTTCTTATYTTTCTTCAAAGTCATCTTTAAATATTAAAGAAAGTGTAGCAGTTGGCCAAACTGTGACYATTGTTGGAACTCCATTTGGCTCCGAGTGCTGGTCCATATTTTATAATAGTGTTAGTCAAGGCATCGTATCAAATATYATAGGTTCAAACACTGAGATGATCTTGACTGATGCACGTTGTGTCCCAGGTTGTGAAGGATGTCCAGTTTTCTTGGATTCTGTGCCAGGAAATGARAGTAGCATTTATGGCATTGTCATTGCACCCTTTTGTTGGAGAAGTGGTGAATGGATTGGATTRACATTGGTATGCTCTATTAAACACATACTGAAGACTCTTCTGGACACAGACATTTTAACAAAATCAATACCTTTAAAAAARTCAATGGAACTTGGTTTTAAAATTAAAGAAAAGTCTGTTGCAGCAAGTCCTGATAATTCTTCGTGTAGACACCAGAATAATAATGACTATCAAGTAACAATTCATACTCTCCAAAACAGAAACCACCAATGTCACACTACTGATGTTGTGAACAAATCACTGTCTTCTGTTGTACTGATAAAATGTGGAAATACCTGGGGATCTGGAATTGTAATTGATTCAGACAATGGTTTAGTGATCACTTGTAGACACATCCTGACTGAGGGTGGACTCCTCAAGAGCAATAACACATCTCCAAGCACCTCTTCATATTACAGCAACAGGGAAGTGTCTCTTATCATTCATGAAGTTCTATCTCATTCAGTTTGTGATCATGTTGAAATTGTATATGTGACATCCGAGGACTGTGCACTTGATTTTGCTTTGCTCAAGGTGAAAGAGCACAATTTTAAGGTATCAATCAAGCTTAGGGATGGTTATCCATACAGAAATGTGTTTAGGAAAGGAGAAGATGTACTTGCAATAGGGTATTCCTTATTTGGAAGTGTTGTGAGCAATGGACCTTGTGTTACTGCAGGAACTCTTTCAAATGTTACATACATCAGTGGAATGCCAGCCATGCTTCAGTCCAGTGCYGCTGTTCACTGTGGGGGTAGTGGTGGGGCCATCATCTCTAGAAACACAGGACAATTATTGGGAATGGTTACATGCAATACTAGRGATGCTAATTCCTCTTCATCTTTTCCTCACATCAATTTTAGCATTCCATCTAATTTAATCCTAAGACTAACTRCCCTTTCCCTGTCAGATGCAAGCAACAGGGGGTTATATTTGATGGATTTAGTATCTATCGTTGAAAATGCATGGCACCTAAATAGCAATAGAAACTCTAAGAGTAAATTGTAGAGAGGTTTTCCATCTGAGACATAACTGGAGTATAAGGGTGTGAGTAAAARAGAACTCGAAATAAAACAATAAGCATCATGAATTAGTGTGAGTGTTACTACCATTTGTAACTGGATTATCAAAAGGAGAGCATACTGCTGGTTAAATAATGGAAACTTTAAACTTTTATGAACAATATTCTCATAAAAACGACTTCAAACAATTCACTGAAATCACACACAAGAAGAACGAGTGGTAGAGTATACAATCTACTCCCTGCCTCGATTACTCCTTGCTAGCTTATCCTTGCTTGCTCTGTGGTTTTTCTTTTTTTTCTTCTTCTTCTTCTTTTCTTTATTCATTTATTTTTTTGTTTTTGTTTTTGTTTTTTTGCCATCAGCATGGTTTTTTGCTCTAGTAGTATCTCTAGTATTTTCTGTTTCTGCAGTAACTGCAGAATGATTAGAAAAAACGAGTAAAGCGTGCAAAAAGCTATAGTAAAAGTAAATTAAAGTAAATTGGAAATATTTCTCGAGGTAGGTGTGCAAAAATGCATTGCGTATTTCACTGCGTCAGAAAATGTCAAAATTGCGCAATTAGTACCCAGGGGTCTTCACGGCACTTTCCAAGAGTCCTTTGCGGACATATGATACAGAGATCCTGTGTAAAGTCTGATTTATATTCGAGATTAGAGGTCCAAGAGATTAGCCGATATGGTCTGGGGGCCGGCTGGTCTCTCCCCTGATGCTTCGGCTAGAACATTTTCTTGCGTAATTCGTACACCCAAGGGCAGAAGGATTTAATCGCTGTCAGGTGCGAAGTCCATACGCCGCCCCAGCTCTGTGGATGTCTTGGGGTATGGCACAGTGGAATCGGTTTTTTTTTTTTTTTTTTTTTTTTGGTGGGTTTGAATTCCGTTTTATCCACGTAAGRTTTTTCTTTTTTCCTTTTTCTTTTTCTTTTATCTATTTTTTATTAGTTTTACATCTTCAATAATAAGCTAATGCGATCTTGTTAGTGAAAAAAAA